GTCGTACCGTTGCCCTCTGAGCTGAGGGCCGGATATGCTAATTGTTGTTGATCATCGGGAGAAGCGTCAGCAGGAGAAGCAAAGACTGCGCCAGAGTTTCCCTTTTCGCCGTCTGCATCTGGGGCCGAGCAGACAATTACTGTCCCTCCGTTATCGGCGTCGTCGTCCACAGACCGAAGCAACTCCATGGCACGCCGCTGCTCTACATCCCCTAAATCGTGTTCCTGCTGCTGTCTCTGATCGGACTGCTGGCTACTAACCTGAGCAGCATCGGGAGCTGCTGCTGCACCTGATTGCTGCTGCTGTGACTGGGGCAGATGGTCCGAACTCCGACGCGAGAGGTCGGACGCTTGCGTTTCGCGGACCACATCTTCAGGAGTGGCGCCGTCTCCAGAAGCGTTCGGCATGTGTGTCTGTGCAGTTGCCGGTGAGGTGTCTGTTATGCTCTCCGTCGGCTTTTCATCAAGGGCGTAACTGGCGCTCCGTTTGCGGTCCATTTTCCTGAAGGGCCGCCGGTGCCTTCCGTAATTCTAGTAGTCGCCAAGACCCTCGACCTATATAAAGCACTGTGTATCCCTATCGAGATGGTAAGGAATGCTACGTTTCCAGCACTGCATGTGTAAAAGCCCTCTCTCGTCGTGAGGAAACTAGCGTTTCTTGACAGTCCCACTAGCTAAGATCTCTCCTCTAGCTCCCATCAATAGAGTTCCTCACTTACGACACAGAATGACAATATTTACACGGGTATTAGCAGCTGCGGCTGCTGCTGCTGTGGGGAAACTCCAGAACGGTGACTTGCGCTGAGGGATGCCAACAGAGTTGCAGCTGCAGCAGGAACAAACATTGGGGAGCTTCGTCTGGGTGAAACCCGACGGTTCGCCTATTGGATAGAATGGATTTCTCCTTGCTGTGCATCCAAAGTTCCAAGTGCGGTTGGTTCAATGCTCGTTCCCATAGGATCGGGGCTGAGGCCGAAGATGGCTTTGCGTTTGTTTGCTCCGCTTGCTCCTGCTCAAGCTTTATAAACGATGTTTTGTCTTATACCCCAGTTAACTTGAATATTCTTTTTTGTGGTAAAAATAATTGAAAATTGCCGCGTACTGTCCGTAAAATCGGCCGAGCCGCTGACTGCGAGCAGCTGGACCCAGCAGGGTCACTCCACCAGACTAATTCGCGAACCGTACGCAGGACCTTCGCTTCACAGAGGAAAATACTTGTGCCAGTGCCTCCGCCATACGCCGTATGCGCGTCAAGGTTGACCACTCTTTAGGCAGCTTGTTGCCCGTGGACACGGGGACGTGGCTCCCGTCAAGCCTTTCGGAGAACAAATGCTACCATTGAAAGCTCCCTACCTAAAACTATTCATTTTTAAGACGAACTTAGGAGTGAACAACATTTGGCGCCTCCTGAATGTTTCTCCAGGCCTCGCCGCACCTCATGCCACCAGCGGTACAAGTGAACTTTGGTAGTAGCAAGGCTGGCGATGGCCGCGTTTTAGCTTGAGACAGCGGAGCAAATTGCTGGCCATTAATCGACTTAGAGGCAAGCCGACAAACGCAAATTTCTGGTGGAGCGGGGATAAGTGGGGGCAACGCTATAGCAGGTCATCGACGGTCCACTTGCGCCACTTCCCGCCTTCTGAGGCGGAATTGCTGTTGGATAAGGAGAGGCGCAGGGCGGGGACAGAACACGCAAATACTGCGATGCTGCATTCAGCGAGGAAACGTTTCTCCTCTTGAATCCAGTNGCGGGGACAGAACACGCAAATACTGCGATGCTGCATTCAGCGAGGAAACGTTTCTCCTCTTGAATCCAGTTTTTTTTCTCCTGGCGAGGGAACGAAGATCGTGTACCTAACAACCGAGACGCTCGCTGCCTTGCAGAAAGTGGGTTCTCTTAGTCGTGAGCGAGAATAGAAGATTTGAAAACAATCGTGTTGAGTAGACTGCTTTTTAAGAAAAAAATAAGCTACGGGTTGAAAACTTATGAGTAGAGGCAGTCATCCGCATTCCTGGTAACCCCACCGCCACGCCTCCTAGACGACGGCGTTGAGTTGCCTGCAGAATATGGAGCGTAGTCTGCACAATTTAATCCTTCTACAGAGTCACCAAGTACACGTTAATTGTTTGTTTACAGCGAGTAATTGGATACGGAATCATACGCACGACTGCAGGCGATTAAACTGCAAATCTAAGTTCCCTCGCACGATCAACTCCTGTGCGTAGGGGGTGTTGCTTGCTTTACTAATTTACGTGGCTCCTATGGTATTGAAAACTCGAGAGAGTACACTTTCAAAATCAGGTGTGGAGTTAGTAGGCGATAAGCAAAATCAATCTGGCATGTAAAAGCGGAAATGAACATATCCCTAGTTGCGGATTTCGTGGTGCATGAGCGCTTATCCATCCCAAATACTGCCACAAACCACCACTAGTTGCATGCATCCACTTCCCAAGAGCTTACTGCAGTGCTCAGAGGATACCCGCTAACTGAAATCAGGCAACTATGGCCTGGGGCTGCTTGACGCAAATATGTTGCTCGTATTGCACGTGATGAATTACATCAGAGAACACGCATGCCGCGTAGCGTGGCTGGTGTGCGCGTCATGCAGCAAGCTATGATACGTAAACTACTGCTGGAGAGAAAAACGAGATCTACCATTGGGTATCTGGGTGAGATTGCCNAGCTATGATACGTAAACTACTGCTGGAGAGAAAAACGAGATCTACCATTGGGTATCTGGGTGAGATTGCCATTTTCACTGGTACCTTTGGGCATTAGTTAGCAGTTCTAGAGACTAGCGCCGTGCTCCGTCGTACAGTTTTAGCCTGCGAAGCCTGAGCTGTATCCAAAATAGACCAAGTACCTGTGGTTTACTGCTTCGGTTGCTGGACATAGAGCGGAGCAAACAGTACCTATCCACAATTTTCCGTCAAGTGCAGCTCATCAATGGATGCGGCAATCTTTTGCATGGACAGTTTTTTCAGCCGTATCATCCGAAACTTCTCAAAGGTTTGGGAACCCTTACAGATAATTGTGCGCGGAATATGCCCCGTTCATGTGAGGCGAGAAGCGCGATACAGGCTTCTTCACAGTTGGTTGCTTTGGTACCGGCCGCTTATATGGAGCAACATCAGCGGGGGAGCGCATATGCGTTAATTGCGATTTTGTTGCAGAGAATATAGGGGCTAAAATACGTGGACGAGGCTGACTACGGGACCCAAACTGTTTTAATANTTTGTTGCAGAGAATATAGGGGCTAAAATACGTGGACGAGGCTGACTACGGGACCCAAACTGTTTTAATAGCAGTAGATTGTGCACAAATGAGAGTTAATCATGTGAAAACCTGCTAGACGCGTACGCAATTGTCTGGGCATTTGATATCTTCCAGTCTCGCGTCAGGAAATTGTTTACCCTTGGGCCAACGCAGCGTAGTTCTCTGCTCAGAGTTGAAGACCAACCAGGAACAACTGCTTACTCAGCAGGTTGGATCCTACGGTTCCACGTTTTTGCGCTCGAAGTCAGGTTGACTGAGTGCGTTTACGGATCCGCTTTTGCGCCACCATACAGCTGTGGGCTCCCCTGGATGCGACACCCATGATCCTTTGCTGGGTGCATCTGTGATGTACGCCGAGCTGCACCAGGTGTGCAAGAGAACAGTAAGTTCACTCCTAGATAAGGAGTGTGACCCAATGCTCGAAGGCGGAAGCGATCCAGGGGAGACCCGAAGAGCTAGCAGATTTGACACCGTCTGAGTTGACTCCAATATCTAAGATACCCAGGTTGGATGCGATGGGTGAATTGCGGCGTGGCAGTCCTGGATATNGTTGACTCCAATATCTAAGATACCCAGGTTGGATGCGATGGGTGAATTGCGGCGTGGCAGTCCTGGATATGTACAAAGTTCAATTATTATTACTTGAATGGTCCTGGGCAGCTGGCTTCCATCATACTATGGGAACGCCGCAAAGATAGATTTTCTTAGTGACCTGTCAGTCATTTGCGAACACTGGAATTCCTACTACAGCAGCAGTAGGTTTTGCACTGCGCTCACACGTGCCCCTGTAGTAGTTCACTCTGAGCTCTTCAAGTTTCTGTCGAGTTTACCCATGCACTCCATGCAGCATTGTATGCCTGAAGTTCGCATATGGATGTCTACGTGCGAGCAGTCTGGCTACTGGAATCGAAGAAGATGTTTGGTGACTTTCTATAGCCGGAGTGCATGCACCTAAAAAGGGGATTGCAGATTCTGGATGTGCGATTGTCATGCAGGGGGAGCTGCAGGAAAGAGCGCTTCAGCTCACGGCAGCCCTTCTCCTCTCCGCAGAAGCCCCAGGCCCCTCGGCCGCTGTGGCCAGGGAGCCTGGAAATATTTTGAATCCTTGAAGCTAATGTTGGTACTCGCAGATATATGACTCTGGTCACAATCCAGTGCTGAGTGCTGCAGCCCGCAGTTTGCACACGTACTTCTACTTCAGTGCACGCTGCCTGATAAGGATAAATCACGTGATCAACAGTTATATACAGTGTTCGCGTATGTCGCACAGGGGGATAGGCACTCCTTGCATCTGGGGTTGCCTTGCAGAAGCATTGGGACTCGTGTCCACCCCAAGCCCTTTGACCGCCAGGCCCAGGCAACCTGGGGACTGGAGGGGAGGTCAGCTGCATTTCAGAAACTCCCTAGCATTCTTGACTGTATTTCTGCTTACGAGGGTCCTCAGATAAGTCCGTGGACAGTCATTGCCGTAGTGTCGCTGGGNTTGACTGTATTTCTGCTTACGAGGGTCCTCAGATAAGTCCGTGGACAGTCATTGCCGTAGTGTCGCTGGGCGCCTAGCACTAATAACCAAGTTTCGAGCTGGCAAGCACCACATACGGCTGATTTGATGACAAGCGTTACAGGAGTTCCTTTATCAGGCTGCGGCGACCCCAGTGCAGACTAATTGTCTACAGTAGTGTGGCGCTTGAGTTGTTAAGAGCAAATCTTCTCTAGTTTTGACAGCAGTGGGCTCCCTTTCCTCAGGAAGCGCTTGGAGGAGCTTGCAAACTAAAGGCAAGAAGCGGTGGCATATGGACATTCCAGTTGGTAAATGCTCTGGGCTCAGGCGTTTGGACAGTAAAAGTGAGTTTTCGTAGCCGTACGATGTTCGGCCCGCCACCACCACAGCTGGGTTTTGCACTAAACAGGCAGTAGTAGATTACCTGAGCAGTGCTTTGGAGCATATTCTGCCTGAGCACAACTATTAGGAAGATTTTGTAGCGGAGGAGACGTCCCAGCAAGAAGCTGCACCGGGTGGACGGTTTCACCGGTGACCCCAAAGCAGTAACGATTCACTAACAAGGCGGCAAGAGGGAATGCGCCCACCCCTCATATAACATATTCACACGCCAACATAGATTTGAGCCCTGAATATATGCGGCATTTATGACCAACGGAGCTGCGCTAACCCTTCGAACCCCCTTGGTACGTGGCCCACTCGTCCTCTGCGGGGCTGGAGTGGCCCAGGGTGTATTTTGTTATCAGGGAGTACCCCCAGCCTACCAAGGACTCTGCGCTTAAATTTGTCTGGAATTCCACACCCCAAAACTCGCGGTTTGTAGCAAAATAGATTGCTTCAAACTTTGGCGAGTGGCTTATCCATGTCAACCTCTTACCGATATACGCCGCAAGCTGAAGCCTGCTAGCATTGAAGTTAGGTGCGTGGCAGTCCCTTCCCATTTAGTCTAATAACATAGGCTATAACTATCAGAACAGCTGTACAGGTAGGAGTATCTTCGCAATTGCTCCGTAGCACTACGTTCCCTCGTGAAAGCACAGAGGGGACCCCCGTGCAGACCTATGCATCACCTATTCTGCGGAGATGGTCTTAAAGCATCCTTTTATGTACGCCCTGGTCTTTACGTGCAGTATAATGAGCAGACAACATTACTCTTCCGAGCGCCTCTATGTAGGCAACTTGCCTTATGACGTTACAGAGCGCGAAGTAGACGACCTATTCTACAAGGTAAGCGCAAAACACCGTGCT